TATATATATATATATATATATATATATATATATATATATATATATATATATATATATATATATATATAACCATAAAGCAGGACTGAACGAACGGTAACACAATATACATGACCTTTCAACTTCAGTGAAACGACGGGTCTACGCCACAGGTGTTTCAGTCCTGCATATGCTGCTCGGGCCTTGGATATTCGAGCGGCCATCTCCTTTGCTGTGCTGTCAGGTTTTACTTCGTCGAACGCCCTACTGAAATCAACGAAGATGACATCATTATTGTATCCTTCGTCCTTGCCTCAAGACAGACATTCACAACAAATTAGTCTTGCAGGATCGCTTGTTGCGGAATTCATGTTACTGTTTGCACATCAACTGGTGTCGCTCGAGGTACTGCGTTAGGCGTGAAACCATTAGTCGTGCCAGCGTTTTTCCGACAACCGACGTGAGACTAAGGAGCGGTAGTTGATTGCCTCAGCTTTCGTCCTGCCCTTTTCTTGTTTAGTGACTTACAATCAAATCCAACAGACGCATCGTAGGACACAAACCAGGTACCCCGTGAAAAGTAATGTTAAGTCTAAGCAAATGATTTCCGTACAACAATATAAATTACCCTTATTGTCATCGTCGTCCGTGTAAAGCGTAATATGGTGAAGTGAACTTCACTGATCGCTGCCAAACTCATATTGCATACAACGTAAGTAAGAGTCTGTAAGAAGGACAGGTATCGGGCTTATTGTTAGAGACGAGAAAATAAAGCGAACCTCTGCGGTCAACACACAGTGCAGTCCGACTGTTCATACATACTGTTTCAAGCATTCTGGTCAGATAAGAAGTGACAGCAAGATCATCACTGCTGTCAGTTTGCTACCATGAAATTCATTATTTCCGACCATGCGGTTACGGAGTCTTTTGAACCCCAACCCGGAGGACGAGAAATACCTACTCTACCTAATAGCTCTGTGTATTTCTTCGTGCCTCGTCGCCACGTTATCTGATGGCCTCCACGTGATTTTCTCCAGTCTGCAACAGCCACTTTAAGTAAGGCGCGGCCGTCAGGTCAGAATGCTTGAAAAGGTATGCACACTTATATTATGTACTCTGTATGTTGATCATAGAGGAATGCTTTCTTTTCCGCCTTCCAATTAGGCCCAAACCCACTCCATCTTGTATTTTATCACTTAAGTTGTGTGCATTGTGAGCTTGGCAACGATCATCGAAATCCACTTCTCCGTATCTCGCTGAACGATGACAATGATAAAAAATCTTTTTACTTCCTTTTTCTATTTATTGAAGATACAAACGTACAGTCAACTTTCAGGAACGGGGCTGCGGCCATACAAAGGCTGCCTGGGGAAAATACCGACATAGCGATCATCCCGAGGTCCTCAGACAGGGAGCCTAGCGGAACTTATGTGACCCAGTCTTCTGGTCAGGGTTTTCATACCCTCATACCAGGTCTTAGTTTAACCGCCCTTCATTTTTTCCCAACCGCTACCTACCTCGGCAAACATCGCTCGCCATTGCAACCTATCTGGTAATATGCGTTGCACTTACCCCATCCAGTGTAATTTATGGAGGTCGACTACCTGTTCCAGTGGACGATCGCGAATAACTAAAACTCCACGCCTAACCTCAACATCGTGCGTCCGGTTTCCGCACCAGACTCGTGCGATGCTAAGTAGACAGCGGTGTTCGAACACCGAAATTCTATTTTTATCCTGTTACCGTAATGGCCAAGTCCCTGCACCGTAAAGCAGAATTGCTGCAACATATACTCGACCCTTCACAGACAACCGGATGTCGCGACGGCACCACAGATGTCTCGAGTTAGCAAATATCAACCGGGCCTCCTGTATGCGCGCTAACACTTCATCTGTGATGTGTCCTCCAGGTAAGATATAGCTGCCCAGATAGCAAAACCCGTCTACTTTCTCTACAACTTCCCCGGTCAGAGTGAACCTGGGGACTGACCAAACCCAATCTTGGAGCAGCATTTTACACTTTGAACGTGGAAAGCGCATACCGAACATCGCTACACTAGCACTTGAACTATACAGAAAAGCTTGCAACTTACCTGCATCCTCACTTGGTAG